AAAAAAACGGTTTCTTCGAGATATCTAGTTAGCCATGCATTTCATCCAAAAAACAAAAAGCTCATTAAATTGAGTTCATGAAACTGCAATTCTTTCCTTATTTAATCGTCTCTCTATCTCCGCTAGTTTTCAAGATCTCCATACTAAACATGGAAAAAACTCGCCCTGTATAATACACAACTTCATGGTGTTGTTTCATAATGTTAATATTTATTAAAAAAACCTTTAAAATGTGTCTAAACACGATGCATTTATCTAAAAAAGCAAAAAAGTAGGAATAAAAAACATTAAACCCGAAGTTGGCAACAATTAAGATAGCAAATTAATTTTTAAATATTAATACCAACCTTAATTTCTGATTTTTTTTATTACATTTTTGGTTTTGTGACAAATTTAAAAAAATTAAGTGTACATCAAAATGACATTGATATTTCAAACCGGAAGTTGCTTATATCGCGAGTAATATTGGAATTAAACGTATCATGTTTGGGCTCATTTTAAAGGATTTTTCATGATGATTACAAATATGTCAAAATTGAAGTTGACATTTCTAACAGGAAGTTGACCATAACTTCATTAATATTCTATATTATTTTCGTAAGCTCATTTGACTAGGTTTCAAATGTGTTTTTATATCTCTAAGTTGAATTTCCCTAACTCAAATTTCTCTGTAACTCGAACTGAACTACTATGGAATTTCTTCAACTATTACTTCTACAAGTCGAATTTACCAAAGAATAAAATATTCGAATCCGTTCTGTAATTAATTTTAACTACTGAATCAAACTACATAGACTCTGGCCCAGAAACTACATACTTTTGAAACAAAAACAAACCTAATGTTCTTATTGTTTCAGAATCAGATGAGGGTGATGATAATTTTGAAAATGACTGTGCCTACATTTCATGAAGCTTATTCCTCTCTTAGAAAGCTTGAAATCTTTGTATTATCAAAAGAGAATGTTCCAGATAATATTCATAATTATTTACATTTAATTGAAGATTTTTTCGACAAAGAGCGGTTGTCCACTTTAAGCCAAAAGAAAATTACGGGTTACTTAAAAAATCTATTAAGGTTTCTGTTTTAAATATACGTATTAGAAAAGTACATTCCTTATTTTTTTCTTTAAAGATGAAATTCTACTAATTTTTCTCTAACTCGAAATTTTCTTCCGCTCACTTAGTGATTCGAGTTAGGGGAATTTCACTCTATGTCAAAATTGAGGTTGACATTTTACACCTGAAGTTAGTTATATAATAGACAAATACACAACTTCATTGTGTTCTTTCATGATGTATTTTTTTATTAAAAAACTTTTAAAATGTGTCCAAACATGACGCATTTATCTTAAAAAACTAAAAAGTTAGAATAAAAAGTATTAAACCCGAAGTTGGCAACAATGAAGATAGCAATTTAATTTTTAAATATTAATGCCAACCTTAATTTTTGATTTTTATTGTTATATTTTTGCTTTTGTGACAAGTTTTAAGACATTTTATAAAAATTAAGAATACATCAAAATGACATTGACATTTCAAACCGGAAGTTGCTTATATCTCGAGTAATATTGGAATTAAACGTAGCATGTTTGGACTCATTTTAAAGGATTTTTCACGACGATTACAAATATGTCAAAATTGAGGTTGACATTTCTAACAGGAAGTTGACCATAACTTCGTTAATATTGAAGATAAATATGTCGTCTTTGTACTCATTTTAAAGGATTTTTAATGAAGATTACAAATATGTCAAAATTGAGTTTGACATTTTACACCTGAAGTTAGTCATCATATAATAGACAAATGCACAACTTTATGGTGTTCTTTGATGATGTATTTTTTATTAAAAAACCTTTAAAATGTGTCCAAACGTGACGCATTTATCTCAAAAAACTAAAAAGTTAGAATAAAAAATATTAAACCCGAAGTTGGCAACAATGAAGATAGCAATTTAATTTTTAAATATTAATACCAACCTTAATTTCTGATTTTTTTATTATATTTTTGTTTTTGTGACAAATTTTAAGACATTTCATAAAAATGAAGAATATATCAAAATGACATTGACATTTCAAACCGGATGTTGCTTATATCTCGAGTAATATTGGAATTAAACGTATCATGTTTGGACTCATTTGAAAGGATTTGTTACGACGATTACAAATACGTCAAAATTGAGGTTGACATTTCTAACCGGAAGTTGACCATAACCTCGTTAATATTGACGATAAATATGTCGTGTTTGTACTCATTTTAAAGGATTTTTAATGAAGATTACAAATATGTCAAAATTGAGGTTGACATTTTACACCTGGAGTTAGTTATCATATAATAGACAAATGGACAACTTCATGGTGTTCTTTGATGATGTATTCTTTATTAAAAAACAAAAAAGAAAATAAAAAACATTAACCTTGAATGTTTCTAGTTCTCGGTCTAGTGTTAGTTCTAGTTTTACATTACCACTATCACTATAACTAACACAAGACCTAGAACTAGAATCATTCGGGTTTAGCCGTCTTGAGAGACGTGCGGCTAAATGTTTCTAGATCTAGGTCTTGTATGTATGTATATATCTATATTTTCCTTATTATTATAAGGAAAAACTTTTAACTTTTCCTTTGCAAAACCACACAATGCCTGTACTATTAAGCTATGTTGCATTTTATGTGAGACAGTACAAGTGCATAGTAGTTTAGTAACTATGGTTACTGTATTCATATATTGGGAGTTATATGAAATTCCTTATATTTATATTATATAAGCCCCAATTGAAACTGGACCTGCAAGACCTAAAAGCTACGAGCTTTGGCATTGGCATGGATATCAGTTACTCAGGTGAGAGATTTAAATTGCTAAAATCTTAGCACTACAAATTAACAAAAACCTAGAGAAAACACATTGTGTATTCACCAACAATTTTAATCAAATTTTTTGCTAAGATTAAAATTTGTTACAACTTTTGTTCACAACGTTTTTCTGTAACATATCTCCGAATCCCAAGTTTTATCATTAACAATTTGTGAAATTACGAATTCTTCTAGTTTGCTTATTTTCACATTTTGATGTTGGACTTCATGGTTGGAATCAAAGTTTTACTGAAATTAATAGCTGCATAGTCTTCGCTCGGCCACAAAATAACCAGAAATGATATTGGCGTCGATTCGTTTGATGCTCTGCCGCAAGCTACGTCACTGTCTCTTCCCATGTTGTTATCATATGTCCTGCGCTCTGACCTCTATGTACATCCATGGTTTGTCCCATTCGTCTTACGTAGCTAAACGTAAGTGTCTTTCCTACAACCCTCTGGGGGCATTTCATTTAGACCGCTTTAATCCTTCATCCTTCCTTAGAGCATGGCACATGATAGGTCTGCGATTTTTGAAGTTAGTTTCTGTTCTTCTCTTGCCAAACCTTTTTTCATGTCGAATATGAAAAAAGCAGTAGGAGGTGTTCCCCAAAACAGCACTATTACTCCGGAAGTAAATACTTTGCGCCGGTTCGTTTCGAAGTTATCCCTATTAGTCATACAGAAAATATTTTATTATTAAAGTAAATATTTGTAATATAGTTTTATTGTCTTTGTCAACGCATCTCTGAGTTATCTTGATTCTGGGGACAATGAGTTAGCTCAAACTGTGACATTTAGTTCATTTATGTAGTCCATGGTGAGCTGACCTATGGCAATCTTCTGTAATATGTTTCATGGTTTGATTTTCACCGCATAAAGGAGAGTGTCAATGTCTTGCCCCATTTATGCAGAAATTAAGAGTATCTACCATACTGGCTCTATATTCTGGTTACAGTTGACTAAGTTATGGCTTAACAGTCCTCATGTCTAGTATTAAATCTACTTCACAGAGATTACATCTTGAGTAACCAAAATCTACCAATACACAAGGAGATTGGAGATCCAATCAGCAACCACTATCACAGATTAAGAATCTAGCTTGGAATTAAAAATGGATAACAAAGCAGAAAGTTTACCTCAATGGTAGTGGCCCCAACAAAGGAATCATAAAGAAAAAATTTGGCAATACATTTTTTATCAAAATTAATTTCATAGCAACATTATGAAAAACTTAAATCATTTGCAATCAAAAATTTAAAAAATCTAAAGAAGTAATTCCAATATGTGATGAAACAAAAAGTTATTTAAAAGAAATTTAATAAATAGTTAAGGAATGTTGAAATAAAAAATGAATCCCTAAATAAAATACTTGAAATCGGCCAAAAATACTTTATAAAATAATTTAAATTCTTTAAAAATGAATAACAAACCTATCTTTGGTCATAAATTAGTTTAAACAATTTTATTAACCAACTTAGCAATTAATAACTATATTAATGAGTTGTTTTCTTTAAAAACTCATTAAAACTCTATAACATCATATTCAAAATAACTTAAACGTGTTTTTATGCTTTTTTATTATCACGGACTTTGTACTCTGAGTAAAAACGATAACTTCATACTTATAAAAAAAAAAACAAACAAGAATTATTCAAATTTGAGAATAATCTAAATAACCAAGCTATTTATCAGATTGAATTCATAATTAATGATCTAAAAAAAATGTTTTTTTCTGTTATATCAAGATGATTTTTATATTTATAGGTCAATTCTCTTCAAAGATAAATTAATATTTCACAATCATTTTTTCTTTGTAATCTTTATATTAACCTTTTTATTCTTTTTATTTTTATTCGAACAAAGAATCATTAAAGAAACCTTCTTTTACTTCCTCTAATACATGGTGAGCAACCAAGAAAATGTATTAGATCTATATTTCTATTTTAGTTAACTATTTCAGGATAATAAAAATTCAATTCTTACCTATTTAGAATTCAAAAATCTAATTTTTGTTATAATTAATCATTTTAAATCGCAAAAATTTCAAAAATTATCGCGCACAACTCCCACTTAACTATTTTTTAATAAAAAAAATTGTAGATAACGTACCCAACGCACGGCTACGTCCAAACTGACGGATAATACTCACCGAAAATATATAAAACATACGTAGACAAGGAGGAGACGACGATGCTAGGCGGCGGCTTTTGCGCGCTGCAGAAAAGCTTTTCATACACTTTATATGGTGGGGGTGAAGCGGTAGTTTCCAGCTTTTTCTAACCCAAAAGGGATTATCATCGATTTTTGTTCGTGTTGTTTTCTGTAACTCTGTTATCTCCAGGAAAATTAAATGTGTCATCGTTCGGGCGGACATAGATAATTTAAATAAATTAAATTAACTTAGAATCTCCAAAAAAAGATCTAGAACAAACAAAAACGAAAAATCCCGGTTATCTCTAAAAACTACAAAGTTCTTTACTTATTAATTAAAGGATTATTTACATAGAAATTAGATAGTACATAAATTGTTTAATAAACATGATGATTAAAGCTAACTTTTAAACGCGGCGTTTAATTAATTAATTAATTGAAAGATGCCCTCATGGAAATGTTACACTTCCTAGTTACTCTTTGTTGGTGATCTTAATTGAGCGTAATTAAGACTTGTTTTTTATGTAGATACGAAATATTAATGGATAAAACTTTTTTAATTATTAAGGTGAGATGTTATGCAACCCATCTAACGAGATTAAATCTATTTAAATTTGTTATAAAAAAAATTAAGTTAAATAAATTCATTCTGAACCTCTAACATCAAATTAATTAATTAATTAAAATCATTCTAATTTCTAAATCTTCCTCTGTTAGTGGTTTTTTAGTTTATGTTTGTTGCCCTCTCAACAAATTTAAAATAAAAGAAAATGATTATATAAAAGCCAACATCATCCACCAATATCAGAAAGGGATAACAATTTTGTGCGAAGATTTATTCACCAAGATTTTGGAAATAATTGTGTCCATAAGTAGTTCAAATAAAAAAATAACAACTTAAACTCCATATAAGGGGTGATCTTATCACTTATTTCATTAAACAATTTATGTATTTTATTTATCAATCTAAAAATAGTAGAGACCTTTTTTTCTTCTTGGAAACTGGATAAATAGGTTGCAGAAACTTCAGCTTATTTCATCCTAAAAAATGTTTAATAATTATTATCTCAAAATATCATAAGCTGAGATCAAAGAATTCTTTAAAATGATACTCACTTTTTCGTAAGTTTTCTTGGGACACTTAAATCTGTGGGGTTTCGGTGATTATTTGATTCATGAAGTACCTATTAATAAAACAATTTTTATTGGAAAAAGTCATCAATATTCGACTCTTACTTTAAATCAATTAATTACCTAATTTGTAAATAATTTTCCTTAAATTTTTGAGGTTAAAACTAAATTATGTTATGATCCTGTTACCATGGATACACAAACGATAAATTTGACCCCTACATCATAGATGGCGTACCAAAATAAATTAATTTTAAATTTGGGTTTTTTTTTAAGTTAATTTAAAAACAATTAATTTTTATTTAAATTATTTCATAAACTACACTGAATCATTTTTTGATTTTATCACGGTTAAAATTAACCTAAAAAATCAATTACTCAAAATTTTAATCAATCCGTTAACTTTAAAAATCATTTTGTGGCAATTCTAGACCGTATAAAATCTATTTGGTTAATTTTAATAATTGATTTTCTAATAAATGACCGTTTAATGGTACTTATTTTATTAAACAATTAATTAATTTTATTTACCGATTTAATGATTCCATTTCTTTTCCTTTATAAAGGAGAAATAATGTTGTGAAAACTTCAACACCTTATTAAATTATAATAAACCACAATTTTAATCATTTCTTGATCGTGGGGTTCATAAAATTCTGGGGGCTTGGTGATTATCGTAGATCCATAGAGTACCTACAAATTAATAACAAATTATAAACAAAAGTGATAAATAACCGATTTCTACCTTAAATGAATTAGTCAACTTAATTAATAAACAATTTTCTTTAAAACTAATAATTCCATTAAAAATCTTAACATTTTTATTTAGCATCAAAACAAACTTTTGAGGTTAGAACTAAACTATAACGTTATGATCGTCGGTTACCATGGATACGCTTTAAAACACATTTTCATTGGCTTACGATAATACAACCATTTCACCATAGATGGCACTTAGAAATATAAAAAAAAATTTTTTGAGGTTATTTTTTTTTTAGGTTAACTTAAAAATAATTAATTTTTATTTAAATTATTTCATAAACTACGTTTTGAATCATTTTTTAATTTTATCACGGTTAAAATTAACCTAAAAAATCAATTACTCAAAATTTTAATCAATCCNTGAATCATTTTTTGATTTTATCACGGTTAAAATTAACCTAAAAAATCAATTACTCAAAATTTTAATCAATCCGTTAACTTTAAAAATCATTTTGTGGCAATTCTAGACCGTATAAAATCTATTTGGTTAATTTTAGTAATTAATTTTCTAATAAATGACCGTTTAATAGTACTTATTTTATTAAACAATTAATTAATTTTACTTACCGATTTAATGATTCCATTTTTTTTCTTTTATAAAGGAGAAATAATAGTTGTGGAAACATCAACATCTTATTGAATTCTAATACACATTTCATTTAAATCATTTCTTGATCGTGGGGTTCATGAAATTTTGGGGCTTGGTGATTATCGTAGATCCATAGAGTACCTACAAATTAATAACAATTTGTAAACAAAAGTGATAAATAACCGATTTTTACCTTAAATGAATTAATCAACTTAATTAATAAACAATTTTCTTTAAAACTCAAAATTCCATTAAAAATCTTAACATTTTTATTTAGCATCAAAACAAACTTTTGAGGTTAGAACTAAATTATAACGTTATGATCGTCGGTTACCATGGATACGCAAGGTTTATAGAACATAAGGTTACCTCATTCCCTATGCCTCTGTAGTATCGATTATTACCCCGCAAATTGACGTCACTGGTTCGATACAGTCAGAATAAAAGATAGATACGTGCCAACGTGCCTATACTGTGGTACAGTCTATATAAAATATTTAAACCTCGCATCGTGTTGTCCTTGTTTATAGATATATCTATAAACAAGGGCGTTGTGTTGTTCATAGAACCAGCTACGTCACTGACCCACCTTGCCTCTCAGAGGAGGAGAATCGGTATTGGGTAACCTTATGTTCTATAGACCTTGATGGATACGCTTTAAAACACATTTTGATTGGCTTACGATAATACAACCACTTCACCATAGATGGCACTTAGAAATATAAATTAATTTTTTTTGAGGTTATTTTTTTTAGGTTAACATAAAAATAATTAATTTTTATTTAAATTATTTCATAAACTACACTTTGAATCATTTTTTGATTTTATCACGGTTAAAATCAACCTAAAAAATCAATTACTCAAAATTTTAATCAATCCGTTAACTTTAAAAATCATTTTGTGGCAATTCTAGACCGTATAAAATCTATTTGGTTAATTTTAATAATTAATTTTCTAATAAATGACCGTTTAATGGTACTTATTTTATTAAACAATTTTAATTTTATTTACCGATTTAATGATTCCATTTCTTTTCCTTTATAAAGCAGAAATAATAGTTGTGGAAACTTCAACATCTTATTGAATTCTAATAAACATTTCATTTAAATCATTTCTTGATCGTGGTGTTCATGAAACTTTGGGGGCTTGATGATTATCGTAGATCCATAGAGTACCTCCAAATTAATAACAATTTGTAAATAAAAGCGATAAATAATCGATTTTTACCTTAAATTAATTACTCAACTTATTTGTTAATAAACAATTTTCTTTAAAACTTATAATTCCATTAAAAATCTCAACATTTTTATTTAGCATCAGAACAAACTTTTGAGGTTAGAACTAAATTATAACGTTATGATCGTCGGTTACCATGGATACGCTTTAAAACACATTTTAATTTTGATACAACCACTTTTCCATAGATGGCACTTACAGACAGTTATTAATTATTTTTTTTAGGTTATTTTTTTTTAGGTTAAGTTTTTTGACAATCCTTAATGTTTACAAAGCGAAAGTGTAAGTTAATTTAATTTTTCTTTATTTTTATCGATTAAATCGACCGTTTCGATTGATTTATGATGTTTTTATTAATTTTTTTAGTTCCAAATATCAAGGCGAATTCTTGAAGGGATTTTTATGGGATTATTGAAATTTCGGTGATAAACAACAGTTTCCTGTACCCGGAACGGAATTAAAGGGCCCCCCGATAGTCGGCGCCACCGCAAGCGCCAAATTAGAAACTTTAACGCCGCCGCGCCGAATAAAAATTTTTACGGCCTTATTTATCGTTCGGGGCCCCGTAAATATTTCTTTTCCGATCGCTAGAGAAGCGATCGCCTCGGTTTTATATACACACACAGGTAGTATTGTTTTTATAGTCTTCATAACTCATAGGCCCTACAGCGCCGGCTATCTGTGCTATCGTTTCCATTCGGAGACCACACAAGAGCAAGGAAAAAATCAAATCCATTTTTAAATTTTCATTTTCTTTTCTTTCAATGATATCTAAATCACATTATTAATCCATTCTGTTACAGAATTATGGTAAAATTTATCTCGACAAAAAATTTTTCCCAAAAAACGATTTCAAGTTAAAATTTAATGCAGTAGTAAAAACACTCGTAGTAGTAACATCATGTGGAAACGAAAGAGAGGAAAAGGGGGATGGTGTTTTAAACGAGGAGATAGAGAAAGATGGAAAGAATAAAGTAGCGTAGTAAGGAGGGGATGGTGGTGGTGAAAAGAGGGTGGATGGTCGTCGTCGTTTCCCTCCCCTGTCGTCTCGACGGTTCTCTGTCGCCGCGACGCCGCTTGTACAGACGTGGATGACGTCACCGTCGGCGTCGGCATGTCCAGAGAGCGGGCGACGACGGCGGCGGCTGCTGCTGCTGCCGGCGTAGCCCCGATATCTCTTCTCGAGTATTGTGCACTTTTACATGAGAAAAAGACCCGAGATCGTAAGTGCTCTGTTTAGGGGAAAAACGGCGTAGTCGTTGATCATTTCTCTTCAGCGCGGGGGTGAGGGAGAGAATTGGTGCTGATCGGAATTGTTGTATACTTCTCTCCAGAATAGGGGGAAAAAATTGTAAATGAAACGATACGAAAGAAATGAATTTGACATGCACGAAGGGGATGATTGTAGGGCGCCCCTTTTTTCTTGATTCTCGGGATATAGTTTAGTTGTATTGAGTATTTGTATATGAAAGAAGTTATAATGGAAAAAGATGCGATACACATCAATCACTTTTACAATAAGTTTTATCCCTCCATAAATAAGGGTGAATAATTTAAGTACATTTTATTTTTTTACCCATCATAATCGTTAAAATTTAACAAAAATTTTAAACAATTTTTATATATTTTTTTATGAATAGGGTAGAAATGAGGATGGAAAGGTTTTTAGTTGGGGTAGGTCGAAGGAATTTCTTAGGGGAATCTCGTAACCTCATTTAAATGTAAAGCCTTCCCACAGAACGATTTACGAATTAAGAGAAACTCACAAATTAGATTAATAAAGCCGGAGATAACTATGACAACTGTAAGGCTTATGATCAGTGCTTCTCGACTTAATGAAGATTGTGATATTAATAGTAGCGTTTCAAAGAAGACAGAGAGAGAAAATTTTGTTTAATCAAGATGAGGCCGCTTGCGGCTGAGGCAGTAGAGTTGATATACAATTTTAGACAACATATTACTATGAAGTATATATTCTTCAAACAACACTGCCTCAGTCGCAAGCAACCTCGACTTATTGAATCGTCATCACATCTCTCTCATCTAAGTTAAACCGAGGTTGCTTGCGGCCGAGGCAGTAGAGTGTGATATACAACTTTAGACAAAACTATGAAGTATATTGTATTCTTCAAACAACACTGCTTAAATCGCAAGCAACCTCGGCGTATTGAAACGTCATCACTAGGGCACGAAACTTTTGTAACAAAACGATACGATTTCCCCCTCCACTCGTTCTCAAAGTTGTTCTAAATTAAATTCTAAAACGATTTTCTCAATAAAAAAATATATATAAAAATTTTTTTGAGATTATGTTCTTAATTATTGATCAAATCAAAAAGTTTTATTAACAATATTTGTTTAGAATTACTTCAGGAACAGTGTTTGTTAATAAAATTTTTTGCTAACTTGAAATTTTAATTTCCCTCTGAATAGTATGCTATCAAAATTAATTATCTCAATAATTATTGTTTTTATCAAAAAATGTTTTAAATAAAATTTGTTTCAATTTCGATTTTGAATCAATTATCTTAATAAAAAATTTTTACATCTCTATTAATTAAGCATCTAAGTATAATTATGTATAAAAACGGAAAAATTATTATTTTGAGGTTATCTCCTTAATTATTGAATAAATCAAAAAAGAATGTGGACAAAGTTTGTTTAGAATTGTTTCAGGAACAATTGTTGTTAACACATTTTTTTTCTAACTTGAAATTTTAATGTCCCACTGAATAGTATGCTTCAAAAATTAATATTTTTGAGGTTATATCCTTATTGTTGATTTAATCAAAAAATGTTGTTAACAAAATTTGTTTAGAATTACTTTAGGAATAATTAAGCATCTAAGCATAATTATGTATAAAAACGGAAAAATTATTATTTTGAGGTTATCTCCTTAATTATTGATTAAATCAAAAAAAAATGTGGACAAAGTTTGTTTAGAATTGCTTCAGGAACAATTTTTGTTAACACATTTTTTTTCTAACTTGAAATTTTAATTTCCCACTGAATAGTATGCTACAAAAATCAATATTTTTGAGGTTATATCCTTATTGTTGATTTAATTAAAAAATGTTGTTAACAAAATTTGTTTAGAATTACTGCATTTGGTAATTTTTAACTTTCATTTGGTTCATTTTTATGTAAAGTAAACCATTTTCGAGATAATCGCTTGTCTCACGTTAAATGGACCAGCCTGTATACAGGATTACCAAAAAAAATGTTAATAAACATATGACCTATTTCAATTATTACATCATTTATATCATAATTAACTGCAAATTTTTTTTTACAGCATTAACAGCATTAATCACAGCTTCTTCGTCCTCTACATTAGCTACATGTGGTCGAATTACCTATTTCGCGAAGTCTTTTGAAAGAATCGCTAAAAACTGAATAATATGGCAAATGACGCTGTGGAAATCTTTCTTGATATTCTCGTACTGATTGTCGAGCATTTCCATTGCAAAAACCATACACGAAAATTATATCGGCATACTCTTCAGTGCTATAAGCTATAAACGTACATTTTGAGTTTCTTCTTGTATGTAACAATTAAACTTTGCAGCAAACTGACATATTACAATGACAACTTTGTTTTTGTTGAATGTTTGATTTTACAGACTATTAATAAATTCACTGTAGAAAACTTTAAAGTGTTATAATCTCGTAAATAATTGAAATAGAACATATGTTCATTAACATTTTTTTTTTGGTATTTGCATTAGCTATCATATGGTAAGTTAATAAATCACCCTGTATATTCTTCAAACAACACTGCCTTAATCGCAAGCAACCTCGGCTTATTGACATATCATCACACTTTTTTCATATAAGTTAAGCCGAGGTCGCTTGCGGCTGAGGCAGTATAGTGTGATATACAATTTTAGACAACATACTAGCAGCAACAATATACAGGTGTTCCATTTAAAAAACTTATGAAAAATCCATTTGAAAAACATCAAAAGTAACTAAGTTTTATGAACACGCTGTATAGCGTATCTAATATCTTTGGATACTATCATTTCTTTACTGGCTTGGACTACTATCTGACATGGATAAAAAAATGGAAAACGGAAAAAATGTCGTTTTTAAAAAATCCTGTAATGGATACATTTTGGAAAAGCAAGGAACTATGAACGCTATGAGTTAGTAACATATACGGGTGTATAAACAAATATAATGCATTCATAATATGATAAAACATATACGGTGCTCCATTTAAAAAAAATCTACATACTCTCCGTGACGAATAAATGGAACACCCTGTATAGTGAAAATAATTTTACGTGTTAGAAAGTGGTGCGTCAAACAACTTTTGTATAAAACCTTTTTTTTCTTTCTCAAACGAATTAGCAACTATCATCCGCCGAGATACTAATAATTCACCCTGTATATTCTTGAAGCAACACTGCCTCAATCGCAAGCAACCTCAGCTTATTAAAACATCATCACATTTTTTTCATCTAAGTTAAGCCGAGGTCGCTTGCGGCCGAGGCACTCGAATTTGATATACAATTTTAGAAAACATATTACTATGAAGTATACAGGCTGTCCGGAAATTGCGCCTATATATTTAAAGAGATGATTCAACATCAAAAATCATGAACTAAAGTTTATATAAAAATGAAAATGCTTCCTAAGGCTTCCTAAAAGCCCTTTAAAGATAGCACTCAAGGAGTACTTTTTTAGCCGAAATTTGATCTACAAGGATATTTGTACGTGACAAATATGATAATCAAAAGAAAAAATCCTTCGGAAAAAATACAAAAAAGGGTACTACTTAAAGAATTGTCTAAAACCAGTCGTTTCTAAGAAAAATTGCATTAAACGATTGGAAACGACTCTGAAGTATACAGTGTCTGCCAATAAGTCAGCAACAACCTGCCTCTTTTTGGTTTCATTTCACCTACATTTTTGAAAGTTTGTTTGTATAGGAAGTTCATTCTGATCTTTCGATCTAAAACAGTTTTAATATGGTCGCCACTTCAAATCCACTGGAAATAAACCACAAAATCGTCGAAGTTGATTAAATTTTCAATAACATTATCTGATAGTTTTCATATTATACCATAAAAAAGAACCTTTTAAATAAAAAGATGAGGTCCCTTGCGGCCGAGGCAGTAGAGTTTAATTTTTATCAAATTTATTCCTTACTTTTGCTACACAGTGTATAGCAACGCCTACTCACAAGCAACTTTGGATTAAGTTATTATAAAGAATATAATATAGATCTTGTTTGGTCAAGCCGAGGTCGCTAGCGGCTGAGGCTTTATAACTGATACCATATTAATAATAATAATTGGTGATATTTCTACAAGGATTCTTCAAGAAATGAATTTTATAGCGAATTTTGCAAGTTATCGATGAAAATTGCAACATCGAAAATTTTATCAAAACTTCAAATATTGTTTTCTCAAAAACTAAAAACTATTTTTCAAAACGTGTTGGTTCATTGAAAAGAGGGCACTTTTATTAACACTTCGGGACATTTTCATACTCATATTCCAAGAACTGGATTTTATACGAATTTTTATAACTTAATCGTTCCACCACTAGTAAAGACTATGTCACACCCGTTACGTTGTGAAGTCACACCCGTTACAACTTCAACAATAAATAAATATAATAACCCAATAAGATGGAAAATATGGTTATACATATAAATTACAATAGAAAAATAAAAATGTAAAATCCAAACTTAATGTATTACAAGTATCGAAATGGAAACGATAACGCAAACTAGTCATTTTTTGGGCGGGGGCGGAGGCCTTTTCATAATCGTGGATATCTTCTAGAAAAGAAAATTTTTGTCTTCCTGTTACAGACGTAAGTTTTTCGACTTCATGGCGCAATCTCAGCACTCGGAGTGCAACCGAGTTTGGCGCCGCTTCCGATCCAGTCGCCGGCGAAACCAGTGTCGCAGGAACGCTCCTTCCCGCAGGAGGAGACCCCCACATCCAAAGAAGGATTTTTATAAAACCCAAAAAAAAGATCGCGAGTCGCGAAACAAATTTTTTTCAAAATTAACACACGAAAGTTCCTAATTAAAACAAAATTGTTGAATTAAGATTGGACAAGAACTTTGTTGGTTTAAAAAAGTGATTTGATTTTTTATTTAACCCGGTTTATTTGAGTTTCAAGAAGACAAATAATGTCAAAAACCTTACTCCGGTTGATTTCTTTGATTTGGTACGCGAAGAAAACCGTCAACGGTGGGATTAAAAGGGCAGGTTCCAGGTAATTAATGCTTAGGAGCCGGTGCTGGAAAAGCGGAACGAAAAGAAGAACGAATATAATATGCAGCTGAGATTCCTGACGATGTGCGTTTACTTTATTATTTTGGGGGCGAACGTGGGGGCTGCGTTCAGCGAAAGAACGAGACATCGTCCACCACCTCAACAACAACAAGAATTTAACACCAAAGACATCAATTATAATAAAGATCATCATCATCAATATCATCATCATCATCAAAATCATCAAAATCACCAAAATCATCAAAACCATCAAAACCAACAACAACAACAACATTATTCTTGTCCAAATTGTTTACACAAAACCGAGAAAGATGCGAAATTAGAAACAGAATTTTTAAGATTGGAAGCGATTAAAAGACAAATCTTGTCAAAATTGGGAATGAGGGAAAAACCGAACATAACGCACCCTTTACCAAGGGAATTGGTCGAAAGAACGTATAAAACGATATTGGGGGAAGGTGGTTTTGAAGATGAGGAAATCCGGAATAGTCGAGGGAAAGCGAATCATCACTTTCAGGAATTCGTCGATGCGGACGATGACGGAAGGACCACTGAAATAATCGCCTTTGCAGAACAAGGTAAAAAATTTATTTATTTCCTTCTATGATTTGCGATTATTCAACGAACTTATTTATAAATAAGTTGTGGTTTAGGATCCGAGAAAAAACTCAGTCAGTGACGAATTCGAATTGATAATAATCGTTTAGTATTAAAATTGTTTCTTAAAATAATTTTAAAAATTGATAAAAAATAGGAAATCATTAAAAATCGATTTTCATTTTTTTATCTAAACTCGATGAAAATAAGAAATTATTAATTAACACAAAAAATCGTTTAATTTGATACCAAACACGACCTATTTCCGTTTAAAATCAAAAAAGTTATATTAAAATGTCAAAAACGTCAATTACTCGATCCTCGATTGTTTAATAATTAAAAATTTAAATATCTCTGTAACGATTAACGATAAACATATCGAGTTTGGACTCTTTTTAAAGGATTTTTTAATCTGTTCCATATCCTATTAATTAAAAAATCGTTTATGTTCATTTAGAAAAAAGATTAAAAATTATTAAAAACTAAAAAATATATTAATTTGATCTCAAAAATGATTATTTTTTCATTACAAAATTAAAAAAGTTGGGTTATGGTGAGAAATGTCAAAAAATCGATTTTCATTTTTTATATAAACTCGATGAAAATAAGAAATTATTAATTAACATAAAAAATCGTTTAATTTGACACCAAACACGACCTATTTCCGTTAAAAATCAAGAAAGTTAGATTAAAATGTCAAAAACGTCAATTACGCGATCCTCGATTGTTTATTAATTAAAAATTTAAATATCTCGGTAACGATTAAAGATAAATATATCGAGTTTGGACTCATTTTAAAGGATTTTTTAATCTGTTTCATTTCCTATTCATTAAAAAATCGTTTAGGTTCATTTGGAAAAAAAATTTCTTAAAAAAAATTAAATAAAAAAACTAAAAATTATGAGAAACTAGAAAAACATATTAATTTGATCTCAAAAATGATTCTTTTTTCGTTACAAAATTAAAAAAAGTTGCTTTATAGTGAGAAATGTCAAAAAATCGATTTTCATTTTTTTATTTAAACTCAATGAAAATAAGAAATTATTAATTAACATAAAAAATCGTTTAATTTGATACCAAACACGACCTATTTCCGTTAAAAATCAAGAAAGTTAGGTTAAAATGTCAAAAACGTCAATTACTCGATCCTCGATTGTTTATTAATTAAAAATTTAAGTATTTCTGTAACGATTAAAGATAACTATATCGAGTTTGGACTCATTTTAAAGGATTTTTTAATCTGTTTCATTTCCTATAAATCAAAACATCGTCAATTACTCGATTCTCAATTGTTATTAATTTATATAACTATATAATTTATAATATTAATTTGATGTCAAACATAATTTATTTTCGTGAAACAATCAAAAAATATGGGTTATGAGGAAAAATGTCAAAAAATCTATTCTCATTTGTTTTATCAAAACTCAATGAAATTAAAAAATTATTTATAAACACAAAAAATCTTATAATTTGATACCAAACACAATGTATTTGCGTTAAAACCCAAAAAAGTTAGGTTAAAAATCATCAAATGTCAAACTAAAAAATTCAATTGTTTTTTTCTTAATTAAAAATTAATATCTCCGAAACGATTAGAGATAAATACGTCGAGTTTGGACTCTTTTCAAACAATTTTTTGATTTCTTACTTAATTTCGCGTTAAAAACCTCGATATTCTTTATTTTTATTTTTCAATAATTTTACGAAAAATTTTTTTTTATTAAAATTTATTAAAAAGAACAATTTGGAGTTAAAGATCATTAAAAATCCTTTATTTTGATACCAAACTCGATATGTTTCCGTTAAAACCCCAAAAAGTTAGGTTAAAAATCATCAAACGTCAAACTAAAAAATTCAATTGTTTCTTTCTTAATCAAAAATTAATATCTCCGAAACGATTAGAGATAAATACGTCGAGTTTGGACTCTTTTCAAACAATTTTTTGATTTCTTACTTAATTTTGCATTAAAAACCTCGATTTTTTTATTTTTATTTTTCAATAATTTAACGAAAAATTTTTTTTTAATAAAATTTATTAGAAAGAACAATTTGAGATTAAAGATCATTAAAAATCCTTCATTTTGACACCAAACTCGATATATTTCCATTAAAACCCTAAAAAGTTAGGTTAAAAACCATCAATGTCAAAAAAAAATTCATTTGTTTTTTTTTTAATTAAAAGGTCATATCTCCGAAACGCTTAAAGATAAACATACCGAGTTTGGACTCATTTTAAATGATTTTTTAACTTCTTTCATTTCGTAATGATTAAAATTAAAAAATAATCAAAAAAATCTTAATAGTTATTAAAAGTGAGGTTAAATTTTCGTGGAATAAAATGGTATTTGGGGGGAATGTCCTGGAGGGACATCAAAATATCGACAGTTTTCGTGGCGATATGGCCCGCATATTATTGTGGTTAATGTCCGGTTTAATATCGGAAATTACTTTATTACTTTGTTTGTCGACGTTGTAACGTCTTCTAATGGTGGTTGATTCCTTCCCACTGTAAAACGCCGACGTGAAGTATCAATAAAAAAATCGTACTTTTTCATCGTTTCGAAACGGTATTAAAAGTTAATATTAATTAATTAAAAATAGTGTTTAAAACGGTTTATAATCGCAAGGAAATTTTCGTTGAGGGGTAAAGTCCTGAACCGTTTGGTCTGGTGCTTTTTGGGGGGTGGCGTAGTGGTGGTGGTGGTGTTAGGGCCGTGGTGGTGGTGTTGCAGACATTCACTCTGGACTAGTTGCGACAGTATGGCACCAAAGGCATCGATCCAATACAGGCGAGACAGACAGTTCATGTATTTTTTTTATATTCGCCACGCAATTTTGGCTTCGGTCGCTGAATTTTTTCCTCTTTTTACACAAATTCCACGACCCCAAAAACTAAACTACTACAACCATCGACCTCTCCCACATTTAAACCCTTTCTTATCTTATTAAAATCAATTTCTCATTAACATCAAGTTCTTCTTTGTAACGATTTTTAATTTTTTTTGTTGATCCTTTTTAAAGTTTGTTTTCAATGATTAAGTTTGTCGATTGAGTACTTCCTCTCTCTATTGAGTGACCTTCCGGAGAGATCCTATCGTGTTCGCTGCCAAAAATTTTTGATATAGGTCATCCAGAATAAAACGATATCGATGGGGGTTCCCCCTTCCAAATCCTTTTTTTTTTTTTGAGTATCGGAAATAAACGTAATTTCGTTAAATCCTTTAGAATCAATTAAAATTTTATTATAACGAAAAAGTTTCCTGATAATTTAACTTTGATTGATATGAATCTTTTATTAAAAGGTTTGAATAAATAAAACCATAAACGATAATCATATGAAAGATTGTGTTTTTATCGTTTCGCGAAAACGAAAAATAAAATCGTAAAAACCTTATTGTTTATTACGAAATCTTCTATTAATTTAAACTTATTGTTAGTAATAAAGTTATTGGGAGTTTCGTGAGTGGTTTATTTTTTTGGAGCTTTTCTTTTTTCGCAAGAAATCGATCGGCCTTTCGAACTTGCATGCATAATGCAATCGCTCGGACAGTTAGCAGCAGGAGCTAGTAGTGTATATAGTGGTTTAGTTGCATTTTCGAACGGGAATGCTCGATAGAGGGAGGGCGAGGAGTGAAGGGTAACATATATATACACACGTAACGCCGGCGCCTACAGTATCGGGTTGTTTATTTATTTATAGATCTCGACTTTATAATTTCAGTGTCGTTTTACAGAAGCAGATACAAAAAATAAATAATCTATTAAAATCTTTTCGCGGTTTCAGAAGATATGTCACTTTAAAAGCTTCATCAAAATTTCCATTTTATACTACCGGGGTATCAAACGCAGCGTTCACGTCTCCGAACATGATTTTGAACCCCAAATTGTTCTTCCCAATAAATTTTATTTAAAAATTTTTGGAAAAATTAAATAAGAAATCAAAAAGTTGTTTGAAAAGAGTCCAAACTCGACGTATCTATCTCTAATCGTTTCAGAGATATTAATTTTTAATTAAAAAAAAACAATTGAATTTTTTCGTTTGACGTTTGATGGTTTTTAACCTAACTTTTTTGGGTTTTAACGGAAATATATCGAGTTTGGTATCAAAATAAAAGATTTTTAATGATTTTTAACTCCAAATTGTTCTTTTTAATAAATATTAATAAAAAAAAATTTTATAAAAATTATTGAAAAATAAAAATAAAGAAAATCGAGGTTTTTAACGCGAAATTAAGTAAGAAATCAAAAAATTGTTTGAAAAGAGTCCAAACTCGACGTATTTATCTCTAATCGTTTCGGAGATATTAATTTTTAATTAAGAAAAAAACAATTGAATTTCTTAGTTTGACGTTTGATGGTTTTTAACCTAACTTTTTTGGGTTTTAACGGAAATATATCGAATTTGGTATCAAAATAACGGATTTTTAATGATCTTTAACTCCAAATTGTTCTTTTTAATAAATATTAATAAAAAAAAAATTTTTAGTAAAATTATTGAAAAATAAAAATAAAGAAAATCGAGGTTTTTAATGCGAAATTAAGTAAGAAATCAAAAAATTGTTTGAAAAGAGTCCAAACTCGACATATTTATCTCTAATCGTTTCGGAGCTATTAATTTTTGATTAAGAAAGAAACAATTGAATTTTTTAGTTTGACGTTTGATGATTTTTAACCTAACTTTTTTGGGTTTTAACGGAAATATATCGAGTTTGGTATCAAAATAAAGGATTTTTAATAATCTTTAACTCCAAGCTGTTCTTTTTAATAAATATTAATAAAAATTTTATAAAAATTATTGAAAAATAAAAATAAAGAAAATCGAGGTTTTTAACGCGAAATTAAGTAAGAAATCAAAAAGTTGTTTGAAAAGAGTCCAAACTCGACGTATTTATCTCTAATCGTTTCGGAGATATTAATTTTTAATTATGAAAAAACAATTGAATTTTTTGGTTTGACGTTTCATGGTTTTTAACCTTACTTTTTTGAGTTTTAACGCAAATATATCGTGCTTGGTATCAAATTATAAGATTTTTTGTGTTTATAAATAATTTTTTATTTTTATTGAGTTTTGATAAAACAAAAGAGAATCGTTTTTTTGACATTTCTCCTCATAACCCATCTTTTTTGATTGTTTCACGAAAATAAATCATGTTTGACATCAAATTAATATTATAAATTGTGCAATTATATAAATTAATAAACAATCGAGAATCGAGTTATTGACGTTTTTGACCATCCTGTATGAGATACTAAGATACAACATATGATATGGGGTTTTAAAGAGAAATTTTCCAAAAAAAAGCTTAAAACATATTTTGCGAAAAAGTTCTAACGAACCACTTACGAGAGACACCTGTATCTTGTAATAAAGCCGAGGTCGTTTGCGACCGAGGCAGTAGAGTGCACCCTTTTTATCTTTTTTTAATGCATTAAATGTGCCGTCTAAATTATGTTATAAAAAACAATTCTTACCGTGTACTTCTAATTTGAGCTGCATTTATTGGATGGAAAGTAAGCTGGATGGTGACGAATCACGTATAACTTAACCAATAACTTCTTAAACACCATTTAATTCTAATTCTTTTAAAAGAAACGTTTTTAACTTAAACGACATTTTAGATTTTATATTGACAACTGACAACGCATGGTGATTTTACGTCAAATTACCTAATGTTCAAAATCTCTAATATTAAAATATAATTTACAAAATTTGTAGTTTTATTCAAAATTAATTAATTATTAGGATTTGATTATTATACCTTATTTAAGATTTTTTTAAGTTTTTAAATAAATTTATTATTAATAAGGGTTAAATCGATTAAACTTTAATTCAAATTTAGGGTTTATGAAAATTTTTTTTTTTTTTTTGGTTTTAATTTGTAAATAATTTAAATTTATTGTTATAAATTGAAGCAATTAGTTCTTTTTTTATTTAATCTATAAATAAATAAAAAATATTGAGAAAATATAATAAATAAATTTAGGTTGGCAATTATATGTCACTAATTTATAATGTAAACATAACCTAAAATTTAACCTAAAATATAACCTAAAACTAATTTATTGTAAGTTAATAACGATTTAATTGTTAAAATTTAATTTCAGGTTATAGATTGAACGGAAATAGGCTGTTAGAATTCAGGATAAACACCGATTTAAACACAGGACACGAATACAGGGTGAAATCCGCTACGTTATGGATAAAAGCGGAGTTTTTGGAGCCCCGCCGAGATCAATGTCCATCAAACATTTACGTTTTTAAGTTCCGGTCGATGATCGGCACAGATGTTATATTAACATCTCAAGTAAGTAGATAATTTTCGTTTTTAATTCAATTTTGTTTGGTTTAATTTTGTTATTGAAGCAATTTAACGAAGTTACGGAAGACCCAACGTCGGTGGCATTAGACGAAAAGAAGCCGGGGTGGCAAAAGATCGATTTGCGATCGACGATCGAAACGTTTTTAAAGCAACAATCAGATTCGAAGTTAAAATTGTTCGTCGATTGCTCGTGTTGCGGAAATTGGCGGGTGCACGTTTTAAATAAAGATAAAGAGAAACGATCGGATCCGAATCGGCCGTTTTTGGTGATCGAAATCGATCCGAGCGTTCCCAAAAGGATACGAAGGCGCTCCATGGAATGTAACGCCGATACAGGGAATCAATGTTGCAAGCAACAATTTTACGTGAGCTTTGAAAAGTTGGGTTGGCGCGAATGGATCATAGCCCCTTCGGGGTATTACGCGAATTATTGTAAAGGAGAATGCGGTTATCACCGGACGCCCGACACTTACGTTAATTATCATACTCACGTGATCGAGCAATTCCGTAAGAATTATCATCTGAGTGGGATGCAGCCGTGTTGTGCCCCGTTGAAGTTCTCAAGTATTTCGTTGATTTATTACGACACGCAACATAATATTATTAAAAGGGATTTACCGAAGATGGTTGTTGACGATTGTGGGTGTCCTTGAATTAAAATAATTTAAACAAAAACGTTAATCAGAAGTTAATAAGAGGAGGAAAATCATTAAATTGAAATTTATAGTGGAAATTGAACGAAAAATTAATTAAAGAGGAGTTTTTGGGGAGTTTTAGATAATAATTAATTAAATTAAAACTGTTTAAAAGGGACGGCTTTTAACAAAGAAGAGAAAATAATCAAGTGACCTTTTTTGATGTAGTCGATTAATTAATTAATCTAGAAAAGTTACTAAAGACTAACAAAAGGAAAAAACGGAGGAACTTTGGGTTTCTGTGATTGTTGCATTCCTTTTTTCTTTAATTTAATTTATTTTAATTTATTTAATTAACGTTTAAGACAAATTTGGTTATTAATTAATTATACACTGCCTGTTCGTTCATATTTCGTATTGTATGTACATTGTGTTAATTAATTATTGCAGTTATGCAACCAATATCGCAGCATTGCGTATTGTGTTGCATACCTGCAATGATGCCATCATCGGGTGCGATAATTATAATTAATTAACACATTATTTATATAAAAAAGGGAGGAAATAAAATGGACAATAATTAATTAATGAAAATTGAAGGAAAAGAATTAATTAATTTAAAAATGAAAAAAAATTTATTAATTAACAACGACTATACGATGTTTATATAAACGATAATAATTAATTAATAAATAATAATAATATAATTTTATATGCCACTCGCACGATCTCGATTAATTAGAGATCGTTTTATTAATGATAGGTTAAAAATTAACTTATTTAAAACCGATATACTAGTCAATAATAAAAAAAATTAACTAAAAGGAAATTATAGTGAAAAAAAATTAAACGAATGCTTTAAAAATCCAATTAAATTAAAATTAACTTTCAAAAAAAATTAATTAAACATAACTTGTAAATGTAACAATTTTTAATTAATTATATTTAATCGAGAAAATTAAAAATGTTAAATAAAATAAATAAAATTAGTAGATTTATTATTAATTAATTAATTAAAAAAAAAAGAAAGAAATTTTTTTTAAAAAAACTTAACGCAATAAAACGTCAATTAATTAATTACTTCATTGAGAAATCTTAAAAGTGTAAATAAAAATTGTTTCATCAATAATAAATCTACTAATTGTTGATTTTTTTTCGACGAAAAATGAATTGTTAATAATTAACTTATAGTAATAAAATAATAATAACGATAATAAAAGTATTAAAATTAATTTTAAACGGATATTTTTTCCCCGGGTTATCGAAAAAAAAATTAAATAAATAAAAAAAATTAATAATAAAATAAAATTATCAATTTAAAATGGAGCTTTTGGCATGTTTATACGTTTATAATTAATAACAACTATGAATTAAAGCATTATTTTTCGTCCAAACTTTGTATGTACGTTATTCGTGTCTGATTTTGTATATTATATTTAAACAAAAACTGCTCAAATACATTCAGCTATTATACAAAAAAAGAGTTTTTTTTTATTACCCAAAACAAAATTGCAACATTTTTATCTGAGAGTGAGGTGAAGTAATAAAGTGTTATATATCATTTTAAAGAGGATACTTTTAGCTTTAATTTGGTGTAAGAATTACCTTTTTATCTCAATATTTACACCTTACACGATTTTTTTAATTTGGCATATTTTTGGTTAATTTAAATTGTACTGAAAAGTGTAACAAATTCGAAAAAAGTGTTTCTTGTCTGAAATTGATAAAATGTAATAAATTATTATATATCATTTAAAAGGGGATACTTTTAGCTTTAATTTGATATAAGAATCATCTTTTTATCTCAATATTTACGCCTAACACGACTTTTTAAAGTTGAGATACTTTTTGAATAAGTTAAATAATCATCAAAACTGCAAAAAAAAATTTTTGTCTGAAAGTGATATGATGTAATAAAGTGTTATATATCATTTTAAAGGGGATACTTTCAGCTTTAATTTGATATAAGAATCATCTTTCCATCTCAATATTTACACCATACACGATTTTTTAAAGTTGGCGTATTTTTTGATTAATTGAAACTGTACTGAAAACTATAACATATCCGAAAAAAGTGTTTCTTGTCTGAAATTGGTAAGATGTAACAAAGTGTTATATATCATTTAAAAGGGGATACTTTTAGCTTTAATTTGATATAAGAATCTTCTTTTTATCTCAATATTTACGCCTAACACGACTTTTTAAAGTTGAGATACTTTTTGAATAAGTTAAATAATCATCAAAACTGCAAAAAAAAATTTTTGTCTGAAAGTGATATGATGTAATAAAGTGTTATATATCATTTTAAAGGGGATACTTTCAGCTTTAATTTGATATAAGAATCATCTTTCCATCTCAATATTTACACCATACACGATTTTTTAAAGTTGGCGTATTTTTTGATTAATTTAAATTGTACTGAGAACTACAACATATTCGAAAAAAGTGTTTCTTGTCTGAAATTGGTAAGATGTAACAAAGTGTTATATATCATTTAAAAGGGGATACTTTTAGCTTTAATTTGATATAAGAATCATCTTTTTATCTCAATATTTACGCCTAACACGATTTTTTAAAGTTGAGATACTTTTTGAATAAGTTAAATAATCATCAAAACTGCAAAAAAAATTTTTGTCTGAAAGTGATATGATGTAATAAAGTGTTATACATCATTTTAAAGAGGACACTTTAAGCTTTAATTTGGTAGAAGAATCATCTCTTTATCTCAATATTTAAGCCTTGCACGATTTTTTAAAATTAACGTATTTTAGATAAATTTAAATTGCATTAAATTGTATCATTTTCGAAAAAACAATTTTTTTCCTGAAGTTGAGATAATGTAACAAAGTGTTATATATCATTTTAAAGAGTATACTTTAAGCTTTAATTTGGTATAAGAATCATCTCTTTATTTCAATATTTAAGCCTTGCACGATTTTTTAAAGTTAACGTATTTTAGGTAAATTTGAATTGTATCACTTTCGAAAAAACAATTTCTTTCCTGAAGTTGAGATGATGTAATAAAGTGTTATACATCATTTTAAAGGGGATACTTTAAGCTTTAATTTCGCATAAATATTATCTTTTTATTTGAATATTTACGATTAACACGATTATTGAAACACAACAACTTTTGCGTTTATGATTCGAGTTTTTCTTTGGATCGCAAATAAAAGAAGCGGCTAAAGAGACATGAAGAGACTTGGTAAAAGAAAGATTTCCCCTTTTTATTTGTGTTTCACTTCCTTGCGCACTCCCTTTTTAAAATAAATTGCATAAATTTTTCTATGGCGACCCGAAAATTTATACCACATCGCCGTCGAAATTGAACACTTGCCAAACGTGTAGTAGTACGAATGGCCCCTGGGACCATATCTTCTGCGGACCACCCCGTTTACGAAAAATCGGGGGCGCACCCCCCGTCGAGGCGACATTGGACCCAAGAACGATGCCAAAAATCGGTTGCCAAAGAACTTTTTATATGTTTAACCCCGCCCCGTTAAGCATCAAAATCATTAAAAGGGACCCGGAAAAAACATTAACATTACATATAATGTATTAATCAATTTTTTGAAATTAAAATCATAAATAATTTTGATTAAATTGAAATTTCAAAAAATTAATTTCAAACAGCCCCATCTGTGAGTATAAATGGGAACTAATTCCAAATTATCGAGTTTTATCTAACTTATCGACCACGAAAGTGAAAGTGGTTGCATAAAATCGTGTTATTATAATAAAATTTTATTATTTTTAAACAATTTCTGTAAGAAAATGGTTTTATAAAAAAACGATTCCCTCGTAGATGCGTCATCGTAAAGTGTATGTAATGTATACTTGTCGATTACCCCCTTACCGAGAAAACGAGGAAACTTTAACGTAACTTCCTTCCCCCTTTTCCATGCGTGATACTTTCAATTACAATAACTCCGGGGGGCCCAACTCTACTGACTCAAAGTAGAAGAAATTGCGTTTACCAGTTTAAAATTTGATACACCACTAATACACCCTCTTTTCTAATAAGGCTTTGAAACGAAAGTTAATCCTAAAGGATTGGATAATTTTTTTTGTTCCATATCGTTATTATTTTAAAAGATGCACATTTTACGCATCTTAAGAGAAAGTTTATCTGTTACACGTTTATATTTAGAAATGAGAAGACAACAAAAAACGGCATTATCGTCGTCTTTAAATGACAAATAAAAATAGAATGGACGCGAAGATCATTGTATCGCAATAATTTATAACGGGTTAACAACAAGTGTGAAGAGATCTGTTTATTTTCCAATTTTATTACAAATCCAAAACAACGTTAACGTTCGAAATCAATTAATTTAAATCCAAAGTGAAACAAAACTTTGTTATTAATTAGTGATTAATTAATCGTAATCATAATAGTTTAGTCACCCAAAAACACTTTCTTTCTTCCTCGACGTTATTACTTGCTACCGTTAATAATTCTTTTTGTTTCTTCACGTTTTTACGTCAATAAAAGCTGACGAAGTGAATAATTCTTTTTTCAAAAGTTTAATGATTCACGTTTCACGTTCCAAATACGCCCAGCTCGCGTTAATATTCAAAATAAAACCATATTATTAACGAACTGTACCGTAAACCATATTTTTAGTTTAAAAACCGACCAAAATCAAAATCTAAAACAACCTAAATTTACGTTAAACGGTTTATTATTTATTTTTGAACGTGTTTATAACCCGAAAACACTCCGAAACTGTTTATTTCTGCAACTATGTTACTTAGTTAGTTATTCGAATTAAATAAAATCATTTTTTTAATATTAAATCAAACTTTAAATCATCGTATCTAAAAAACTAATTGAGATATCACCATTAAATAAGAAGCAATTTGTAACAAATTTAATGCAGATTAATCGTATCAAAAATTATCCTTTCGATTCAATAAATCGCGATGATACAATTTTTTTAATCCAACTCTGTCATATTTGAGGGTAAATTGCAAAAAATTTAATTTATCGAATGGTATCTCAAGAACGAATTGAGATATAACGATGAAATAAGAAGCATTTTAAAGCAAATTTAATCCACATTCATCGTACCAAAAATTATTCTTTCGATTCTATAAACTCCCAAGATACGATTCTTTTAATTTAATATTGAGGTTAAGTGGTAAAAATGTAATTTAAAAAATCGTTTCTCAAGAACGAATTGAAATAT